TCAATGACATTATGCCATAGTCTCTTTACACACCTGCCATGCAGATTCCTATCGCTCTTTGGCCATATGCAATTAGAATAATCATGTTCCATGACTTACAGCCGCACAACACACAGGGAGAATATTAGTATTAAAGAGATGAGATTTTATAAGCCCATTATGCAAGCAGCTTGGGATTGTAGTGAGACGGTAGCCAACAATGAAATGCAAATTTGGAATGCATTAAGGGAAGCCTGGCATTCCAGAGAAGGAGAAGATAGTCTCACTGGCTTCAGCCCTTGTCAGCCAACATCTGGCCTTTTGGGTTCAGTTCTGGGCACCAAGTTTTAGAGCAAACATTGACCAAGTGGAGAATGTCCAAAAGAGTACAGTGCCTGGCACATAGTAAGTGCTATATAAATCTAAGTGGGTATATATGCTATTATAATTTTTAGTCCACAGTGGTGAAGGGCTAAGTCATGCTCTGTGGTTAATATGCGGTTGAGAGGCATCTAGGAAACTCAGTGGATAGAGAAGGGGACCTGGAGTCAGAAAGACCTGAGTTCGAACTCAGCCTCAGATACCTATTGGCTGTGTGACCTTAGGCAAGTCATTTAACCTCTATCTGCCTCAGTTTCCTCTTCTGTTAAATGAGGTAAATAACAAGATCTCCCTCCCACAGTCATTGTGAGGATTAAATGAGATAACATATGTTAAGTGCTTTGCAAACTGTAAAGCTCTGCATCAATTCTAGCTATCAAAAGTTATTGAAGGAGCTTGTGATATTGAACCTGAAGAAGAGAAGATTTACAGGACCATGATCCTTGTCTTCAATGTTTGAAAAACTATCATGTGGAAGAGAGACTGACTCAGACTCTTTGGTCCTGAAGAGCAGAACGAGATGTAATGAGGAGAACTCTTAGGGAGACAAATTTAGACTCATATAAGAAAAAAAAAAATCTTCTAACAATGAGAGCCATTCCAGAATGGAAGAGTTTATCCTCTGAGTCAGTGAGTTACCTCCCATTGGGGGGGAAGCTACACACCAACTGAAGAGCACCAACTGATGTGTGTGTGTGTGTGTGTGTGTGTGTGTGTGTGTGTATGTGTGTGTGTGTGTGTGTGTGTGTGTGTGTGTATAAAAAGAGCTAAGGAACCGGGGCCAGAAGAGACAGGCTCAGATCCCAGCTCTGCTGCCTTACAATGTCAAGCATGAGGTGCAAGGGTGAGGGGGGAGTGGGTGACCCTTGGTGTACGTGATCTCAGTGGCTTCATTCCACTTGGTGAGACAGGCCCAGTTGGGGCAGGTATTCAAACTGAAAGTAGGGATGGTCACTTTGGGGGTGATATCAGATTGCAACCTTTGAATCTACAAGTATCTATTAAGTGCTACTTACCATATGCCAGGCACTGTACACTGCACTACGAGAGACAATTTGCTCACAGAAAGGTATAAACAAAACTCACATGAAACAGAAAAGAAAATAACCTTGGGAGCAAAGGGAAGGCAATGATATCGGTGGGGAAGGGAACAGTGAGTAAACTGAAAGATCTCAGCAGAAGTTGCACTTGAGGAGAGAGAGAGAAAGAGTGGGGGGAGAGAGAGAGAGCGAAAAATAAAAAAATGGAAAGAAAGAAGATAAGGAGACGAAAGGGAAAATAAAGAGAGACAAAGAAGAAAACAAGGCAAAACAGAGAAGAACGAGTTTGCAGGGAGAAGGGAGTTAGAGAATCACCCACTAGGAAGGAAAACAAAACATGATGCGACGTTTTTGGTCACATAGCCCTGTTCTAGGTGAACTAATTACTTTGGGGGATACAAGGGCTTAATGTAATCTACTAATTAGTACAACCTGAAACAATAACTTCCACAATGATAATTTGATAGATCCAAAGAGTTAGTCACCCTTCAAACCTGCCTGCTTGCTCCCAGGGCATGCTATGCATAATTGGAGAATCTGACTTAAGTATTATCTACACCAGCCCATGTAGCAGAGAAAATAGACAAATAATTTTCAATGGTGTTCAGGCCATTTGTTATTCCTGTACCTTCTTCCCTTGGGCTTGTAAGAGCAAGTCCCACAGGCTCACTGTGAATCAGCCTATTAGAGAAAGGATTGTGCCTTCTCCCTGATGGCTTGTCGGCGTCTTAATGAATATGTCACTGGACACGGAGTACAAAAGACCTGGATTCAAATCCTGCCTAAGACACTTCCTATAATAGTTAATCATGGAAGCTAACATTTATATATCGATTTAAGATTTCCAAAGCATTTTACAAATATTATCTCATCTGATTCTCATAGAAGTCCCTAGGAGCAGGTGCTACTATTATCGTCATTTTACAAATGAGGAAACTGAGGCAGAGAGAGGTTTGACGACTTGCCCAGGGTCACACAGTTTAGGAAGTATCTAAGGTGTGGTTTGAAGTCAGGTCTTCCTGACTCTAGGTCCAACTCACTATCCATTGTCCCATCTGGCCGCATCAATACTGACCATATGAGTATGAGAAAGTCACCCAAGCTCTTGGCTATCCCTTAGTTTCCTTCCTCTGTAAAAGGAGGGAGTTGAATTAAATGTCCTTTAAGGTATCTCCTGGCTGTAAGTTGATGATCTTATGCTAAGGAGGCATGATCTTTCCCTCTCACTACCCCTCACTGCCAACATTTCCTCTCTTCTCCTCAATTAATATGCTAATCACTGTGGTCAGTCAACCAATAAACATTTCTTAAGTACTTACACCCACCAGGCACTGTGCTAAGAGGGTCCCTGCCCTCAAGGTGTTTACACTCCAATGGGGGAGACAAAGAGCAAACGAATGTGCACACATACTCTATGTACAGTATAAATAGGAAGTAAGTAAAAGAGGGAAGGACTAAAATTCAGAGAGTTTGGGAAAGGCTTCCTTACAAGATGAGATTTTAGTTGAAAGAAAGACAGAATGTCCAAGAACAGTGAAATGACAGTCTCATTTCCTTTCTTTCTGACTATTGAAGGAAAGGAAGGAAAGAAGGAAGGGAGGGAGGGAGGGAGAGAGGGAAAGAAGAAGAGACTGGCTTTGACTATTTTTTACTCTTATACCGACACCAGTTAAATGCACTTTGGAAATATAAAGTCTAAGCTATATTTAAAGCATAAAACCCTAAACACATAATGCATATGGTTAAATGACATTGAACTAAAACGCACCCATTGCATCGTAATTGATTCCTGCCTAGGGGCACTGGATTTTCACTAGAAAATGAGAATTCTGGCGAAGATGAGGTCAATTCTCCCCTAGACACTTTGACAAAAAGTAAGTAACCTTGTGTAATTGAATTCCAGAATTGAAAACAATCTCAGGGGTCATCTAGTCCAACGAAGACATGATCAGTTGCCCCCTTTTCGATACTGGTGAGATTTGGACGTATGGCCTTTGTTTGGAGACCTTTTGAGAGAGAGACCTGGTGCCCCTCCAGGGAGCTCATTCCACTTTGGGGCAACTTGAATTGCTGCATGTTTTCCCAATATTAAGCCTAAATCTCTCCCTGTACACCATCCACACCTTGCTCCTGGTTCTGCCCTCTGAGGCCAAACAGAAATAAGCCTAATCCTGTTCCAACAAACTGACAAATATTTCTTAAGCACATTAATCCACACCAGGACCTGTACTAGGCTCTTGTGGTTCCAATACAATGGATGAAACATTTCCTATACTCGGGGAGTTTATCGTGTAGCAGAGTAGACAGCATGAAAGTACATATTCCAAATGACCCCATTTTAAGAGCACGAAGGGATCGATTGTCCCCCATAAGTCTCTCCTCTCGACATTAAACTGCCCAGTTACTTCAGCCTACCTTGGCGTGGTCTCAGTGCTTCACCCCCACCCTAGCTGCTCTCCTCTGGATGTTCTCACTTCTCCACGTCAAAAAAGATTTTGCCCCAAACTGACCACCACAGTCCAAATGGCTCAGAGGAAGGCAGAGGGCAATGGGGCTTCGCTAAGCCCGGACTCTGCCTTTCTTCATGCCACCCTTGGTTTAAGCAGATTCTTTGGCTATACTGCTGCTTCTTGTTGTTTTTGCAGCCCACTAAAACACCTTCATCTTTATTAGGGTCTGGCCACGCTTCTCCCATTGCCTACTCGGCAAGTGGATTTTTGACTCCAAGTCAAGCCAAGCACTTATTAAGCACTTACTATGGGCTAGGTACTCTGCTAAAGGCTAAGAGTACAAAGGCAAAAAAAACAAAAAAAAAGGAGTCCCTGCCCTTGTGGAGCTCACATTCTAGTATGGGACTTCACATTTATAGCTGTTACTTTTAAAACTGCTGGGGGCTCCTAGCAGGCCAGGTGGACCTTTTGTAGATTTTTCTAAGAAGGCATGTGTAAGAGTCACACAGGGTAAGATGTGTAGATGGGTCATTATCTACCTCATTTGCTGGACTGTCCGCATAAATGAAACTACAGACTATTGAAGTATCGAAGAGAAGACGCCGTCTTATTTGCTTTGAGTCTTTGTCCTAGTTCAGGGGTGGGGAAGCTGCAGCCTCGAGGCCACACGTGGCCCTCTAGGTCCTCAAGTGCGGCCCTTTGACTGAGTCCAAACTTCACAGAGCAAATCCCCTTAAAAAAAAAAGGATTTTTTCTGTAAAGCTTGGACTCAGTGAAAACGCCTCACCCAAGGACCTAGAAGGCCACAGGTTCCCCATCCTGTCCTACTCTGTTGAGCTCTTTCTTGGCTCCTGACTCATCCAATGTATTATCTCTGCCACTTGGCCTTGTGTCATCTGAAACCCTGAAAAGCAAACTGCCTATGCATGAGTAGTCTTCCATCCCCTCTTTACTCTTAGCAAGAGACCTCAAAAATAGCGTTCATGATTGATTGGCCGGGGGAATTCTTTTACTCCCTATTGGGTGACTTAATTTTGATAAATTCTAAGTTGCTTTTTATTTTTGTTGTCTGAATGATTGATACAATGCTAATTCTTTTCTCCAAAATGAGATGGTAGTAATAAAAATTGATTTTTTTTTTTACTTTTAGGATGGAGAGCCTACGGAGACACAGGAATCCCCCACAATTTCTGAGAAGTCCTGGCATTCAGGAAGTGCGTGCTCCACTTAGGAAGAGACCTGAAGAGGAGTGTAAGTATGCTGAATTGAGTTTAAAGGAGTGTCTAAGGAATTGCTGCTTACCTAGTGTACTAACCTGAAACCACCATGTCTCATTATAATATATTAACGTACATCATTTCAAGGCATGAAGTTTAGATGAATGGATATAGGGTGTTAGATAGACTAGGATGATCATTATGAACCTGTAAGCAAGTGAGAAAGAACCTTTACAATTGTATTTCAATTGACTTTTTTTTTTCATTAAAACCCTATATCCCACTCTGAGCTTTCATTATGACCTAGCCTTGCTATCAAATATGGATACAGGTACCACATGCTGTTCCACTGATATTGTGAGTCAGGGTACAGTAGTTTAATAGGAAGGAAGCTGGTTGTAGTGTTGGGGCCATCTGGGCTTAAGTCCTTCCTTTTACATATCCTAACTTTGTCAGCTTGGACTGGTCAATGCCCAAACCAATCTCCAAATTGCAAACAATTTCAGAACTGCCTTTGTAGAGGTGGGTCCTCACCATACTCCCCTACAACCATGATATTTCCAGATATTTACCTTTATGTCTATATTTATAGCTCTAACCATATCTGTATTTATTTATCTATGTAACACTATTCCTAGCACTAAATATATACAGATTTAGATATAGATATTATGTACACACATCTCCATAGTATACAATCTATTAATCCTTTAAAAGATCATCATATTTAGAGCAAGAAGGGCTTTGTTAGGTCATATCATCTAATCCCCCATTTTATAGATAAAACAGAACTCCAGATAGGAGAAATCAGTCGATCAACAAGCATTTATTAAGCACGTACCATGTTCCCTGCACTATGCTAAGTACTGGAGAAGCTCACACAGGTATTAAATAATAGAGCCAAGATTTGAACCCTAGTCTTCCAAATCCAGCTCTTTCTACCATACCATGCTGCCTCCATTGAGGGATTGGCATCCCCTGTGCCTACAGCAGCATTTGAAACTTCTCCCTTTACCATCCTCAATATTTCCTGAAAGAAAAAGAGAAATGAAAGTTTGCCATCTTCTCTTCCTCCTTCAATTGTGGGATTTTTCCCCCTAGAAATTAGGATTCCATGGAAAAATAAGTGTCTGGACACCACGTTCATGTTCTTCAATTTAGTTGGACTCAGGAAGAACTAAAGCTGAGTGCCTTCTCCACCAAATTATGTGGTGTCTGTTCTCTATATCCTCTATATATGTGTATCGTCTCCCCCTGTAGAACATACGTTGGGGTGGGAATTGGCTCGCTTTTGTCTTTGGATCTTCAGTGGTTCGCACAGTGCCTGGCACATAGTAGGTACTTAATGAATGTATGCTGACTGAAAGAATATGTCAATAACACACAGTTTCTTCCTTAATGCAATTTATAATCTCATGAAAGATAACATAATTATAAAGAGAATTATAATAAACGTGAAATTTGAAGTATGCTAAATAATTCATTACTAACTGTGCCTTGGCTAGGTCAATCAATCAAAAAACACTTATCAAGTGCCTACTAATTAATAATTAAAACAATGCTACTCTGCATTTGGATAGTACACTAAACTTTGAATACCTTATCTCACTTCGCTTCACAAACACCTTACATGACAGGTGCTACTGCATTCCTATCTCCATTTTGTAAATGAGGAAGCTGCGTCTCCAAGTGGCTATGTGACACCTGTCTAGATGTCTGGGTGCCTCTCTGCTTCTGTTTGGAGATGCCAAGCTAACTTCACCTTTTGATATAAAGAAGACTAAGCATTGTTCAAAGCAAACGGATGCACATCACGGTTGGCTTTTGCAATCAAGGTGTGGGTCACTGGGATACAAAGCAATCTGGAGTCCTGCCTGTAGGAGGATTTCCATTTTTACTAAGATGTGGCTGGTGCCATAGGTTCACTTAAATATACTGCCTGCTGTTCCATCCATATTTTATAGGCATTTCACATTTTGAAAGTCTTCTTGTCTTGGGTAAAAACAACTGCATTAGAGCTGTCTACTCATGCCCCAAAGAGGACCCTCTGTGCAAAGTGGAATAGCCGGCATCTTCAGTCAACAGCACCGTCACTCAGCGGATGCTGCGCCTTTTTCTATAGTGTTAGATTCCCAACAAGCAGCCCTACGGACAATGGAGCTCTTCTGCCCTATTTTCAAAAGAGCTTGAAAATTATTCTCGGGGCCCTGGGCACCATCAGGAGCTAACTCTCAAAGAGTCAGGCGAGATATGTAAGCGCCGGATTGTTGTCAGGGGACTCAGAGGGGAAACTCCTCCTTGAGAAATCGTGGCTGCTCAGCCTTTTGTCTGGGACTTAGGGACTCATTACACATCATGGTTTCACGCAGAGGGCAGGCTCACTTGTGGTTTGTAAACTGCTGACTTTACTTGAAAGAAAAAAAAAACACTTCTCAGTCCCCAGTGAATGCAATTCTGCATTTCAGAATGTACGCAGTTTAAAGCTCAGAGGTTTGCTTAGTGAGGCTACCCATGAATTCCTTTGATAGGAATATTTGTCCCATGTTCTATGCGCTGGAGGCTAGAGGCTGAGGCTGACACGCTGTGCTCAGACCTCTTGTACTGGGTGAGTCCCATGCTTATCATTGTCCACACACTACTCAATTTATTCAAAAGATTTACCCATTCTAACAGTCTAATTTTTAAAGCATATATTAAGCACCTTCAGTTTGCAAGATCCTTTTTTTTTTGGAGGCAATGGGGTGAAGTGACTTGCACAGAGTCACATAGCTAGTAGCAAGGTACTTAAGGAGAAGGTTAATTGATATGCCCAAGGTCACACAAATAGTAAATGTCACAGGTGGGATTTGAACCCAAGCCCTCTGTTTCCAGACACAAAGTTCTTTCACTGGACCACAGTGTCTCCCTCAGGACATAGCATATCCCAGGCTTCATATCCTCAAGTGCTCCCCAATATATAGCCCAAAATAAGTTATGCTTAGCTTAATGCATGTCACCACTAACCATAGCTTTGAGGAGTATCTGCTCCTCTACTGTGAGGTGGTATTCTTGGGGCACGTGTACCTTTTAACGTTTTCATTTCTTCCAATATAGTACACAGCTAAAGGCTATACATTGATTGTTACCTCATTTTATTTCATCTGTAGAATGGGGCTTAGTAATATCCATCATACACCTTTCACAGAATTGCTAGGAGGATCAGATGATCAAATGTGTGGAGAAGACCTCATTAAACCTGCAGGCCCTGAATTAATGATGTCAGCTATTGTGATTAGTCCATGTTTTTTTTATTTATCTTAGTTATGTTAGGGCCTCTACTGGGTGCATGGAGCAGCCCTCCTGTCTACAGCCCCAGCGACCAGAGTGGCAGTTTAAACCTTAATTAAAAACGAGAAGATGAGAGTTTTGTCATGCATCTACTCTATTTGGAATTGTTTAATTTAGCTTAGTCTTGTGAGATAAGATAAAATTGGAGATATTTAGGTTCACTTGGTTTGTTATGTTCAGCAGGCAGGAACATTAGAGGGAAACAGTTTGGGTCTGTTTTCCTTTGTGAATCAGTCACTTTGGATCAGTTATTGCTGGCATTAGAGTTGCCTGGGGCACAGAGAGACTTGCCCAGGGTCTCATAGCTGGGGGCATGGCAATTCTCCCAGACCATAACTTGCAAAATACAAGGTGCTAATCTGCACTGGTGTTGGTAGAGGGCTGCCTCAATGAGAATTCCTTACATCAATGGAACCTCATCTAGCCCCATTCCATCCCATAGCTAATTACAATTCCTCCATGAAAATAAAAAGGATGGGGGCAGTTAGGTGGTTCAGTGGATAGAGCATCGGCCCTGAAGTCAGGAGGACCTGAGTTCAAATCCAGCCTCAGACCAAACACTTGACACTTACTAGCTGTATGACTCTGGGCAAGTCACTTAACCCCAATTGCCTAAAAAATAAATAAATAAATAAATAAATAAAAATTTAAAAAAATAAAAAGGATGTTATTATTCATTCAGCTTAGATATATTAGTAGCTACAGCTAGGAGTCTTCCTGAATTTATGTGGCTATTTTAAACAGAAGAAACAAACAAACATCAAATGGGAAAGGGATACATTTCTTTGTCTAGAGGCATTGTGGTATGGTAGCTAGCAGGCTAGACTTGGATTTTAGAAGGCCTGGGTTGATTCTTCCAGCTGATCCTTAGTAGGTATGGGACCCTGGGCATATTACACAACTTTCTGAACCTCAGTTTCCTCATCTTTAAAATGGGGGTGCTTCATGGAGTTTTTATGACTCTCTGATGAGATCATGTATAGTTTGTAACTCTCAAGTCCCACATTGATATGTGTATTTCTATTTAATCAGTTTTCAAAATTCCACTATAAATTTTAGTTTGAATCTCAAAATGAGGCCTATCTCGAGGCTAGGTTTAATTCAAATCCTCCATTTCCTCAAGGAGGATCTCTCCAGGGCATCTCCCTGGAAGTCCCATTCATTCCTTTGATCTCCAAACTCTCCCTTTGCTTCTTTGATCTTCTTGGGGCTCAGTACTGAGTTAAACTGTCTTGTTGATCTGAACTTCTATGGAGAACGTTATTTCTCTCTTAAATTTATTTTTATGAAGCATGGAAATTGTTTTGTGAGGTAATGCATATTCCTTTGAATTCTCAAATGTCATTTTACTGAGTTTGAGTGCAGAAAATGAGAATACTGATCCATCATCTTGCCAAAAACCCTGTTGTTGAGGAACGCGTGAGGACCAAAGATGGATTTTCCATGAGCATCAAAACCAAGGATTTATTTTATTAATTTTCTTGCTAAAAGCAGATTTGAATATTGAGGAAAAATAAAATGAGTCTTTGATCATCCCTTTGCTCTTTCAGCAACTATGATGCATACAACCTGATAAAAAGTGTGCTAAAAAAAGAAACTCATGACATCATAAACTGTGAGTCAGAAGGGATCCTGAAAGCTGCCTCCCTTCACCTGTCCCTGAATGAGAATCACATCTACAACATGCCTGATAAATGGCCAATCCAG